AGGAGGGAAACGCAGCTTCGACCGAAGTGCCGCACGTCCTCGCGCTCGACCACCGAGCTTTGAGATAACTGGCGCTACGCGCTGTTGCTCGGTCTGGAGCATGGCGGATGCGATGGTCATCTTGACCTATCTCTCCCAGAGCAGGAGATTCTCTCCATCCTTACCCATAAGACCTTAGCGCTCACCATGAGCGGCTTAGGGCGGGGAAAATCATCCGTCGCCGACGGTGGCGTCATAGACACAAATAATGCTGACATTTTCGTCTGCAGGTGCTCTAGCAGCGCGTTTTTGTAGCTTGAAAACGCCTCTAGACGCGCACCGATTGTCTCGGGACCTTGCGCTACAAGGTATTGCACACCCTCAGGGCCAAGCAAGGACATCAGCTGGTTAAGCCCGTCCTGCATGCCCTGGGGCAAAGAAAAATTCCTTCATCCTCACAGAGATCAGTGTAAACAATGTGTAGATTGACTACAAGTGCTATTAAGTGCAGCGGGGCTGCCGTAGCTTAACGCTTGAGGGAGCGTAATTTGGGTCACCGACCTTTCGGTCTTTACAAGAACCAATAAGAGTGTAGCGGATCGCAATCCGCTAACTCCAAGAGTAGTTACTACCTTAACCAAGGCTAATAAACTCCTCGATTTAAATTCTAAAACTGATTTTTATCTGCGGCTAATCCGCCTAATTTTGGATGTAAATTTTACTAAATATATATTGTAAAATCTAAATACATGCATAACTACTGGCTACCTAGCCTCATACCGTATTCTTGTTTGGGTGCAGTCACACCATACACATACACACCCCTGTTACCAGGGTACGTGTAACTCCGTTACATTAATGATAACAATCAGTCAGGTTGAGGGTGCTGAAAATTGTTCCACATGAAATTTGATATGAATCGGCGTTTGCGCCGGAATCGTGGCTGTGTCTTGTGTAGTATAATTATTCGCAATTTTGTACTCGACAGCCTTCCTGAAGATGAATGGTGGCATCGAGCGTGAATGTTGATTTCTTCACACTATGGCTCATGTGCTTTGTACGGAGGGTAGCGTGAATAATGTCATACTGATCCATTAATAAGGACTATTGCCGTGTGACACAATTTGGTTCTGAGAGCCATGTCATTCAAAGACAACTTCCCCAGTCTGGGCATATGACGGTGTTGGGTCTCTTCTCACTATGTTTTTATACAGCTTAAAAGAATTTGTCGGGTCCTCGATGATATCTGTTCCACTCGTCGCATCTACCGTTCAGCAAATACCATTAATTGCAGATTTAAGCATGACGGACAATAGGCTTCGCTCCTTCTTCAGTGTCAATCCGACCAACTCTTTGACTTGACCAGTTTGTAATTCATTGCTCAGACACCAAAAGGGAAATTCCTCCAGTTCTACAAATGTTTTGCCGGTGATTATAAGGAGGGGGCTTACAACCCTTCAAACAACTCTTAAAACTACTTTTACGAGTACATACTCTCACCCGCTTCAGACCTGTAGCTTAACTCCCCCGTACAGTGGGCACGTCTCAGAAAAGCGCTGACTCAGCAGTACCATTACATTGAGATATTCTTCTTTGTTTAGGGTCTGTCCGGACAGGCTTCAACGAGTGCTCTTCGGCTCTAAAGGCTGAGTCGCTATCATATTCCACCAAAACTGGCACGGGAGACGTCAGTTCTTACTGCCAATTAATCTTTTCACATCTGGGGGGCGCAAAATGACAGCATTTTCATCCTGATACTACCGCTCACTGCCGCTTCTGCTTTTCAAAATGTTACTTCAAACATCTGAAATTATTATTTAAATCCTCTCGGTTTCAGACGGTAATAAAAGTCAGCGTGTTAAGTTCGTTCTCTGCACTTGCTGAAACATTTGCTCAATCGAACGTGCAAAGTTAGATCATTTAAGCCTGTCATCTAGCTGGATATGCTGAGAAATCTTAAGCGATGCATCAGCAGGCGCCCCTATAGATCAGGCCTATGTTCTGAGCATGAATTGGCTATTATCGTGAATGATCTGACAGCATGTATTAGTAGGTCTAGGATGTTTTGACAACAATTTACTGCGACTTTCATGATTTGAACGTACGATGCAGTGATGGTCATCGTGAGAGGGGGAAGCAGGAGTGGCGATCAATGCTTACCCGGATGCTCTACACATGTTACTGGACCGGTAATACTTGTGCGAAACCCATGGCAGAAATCTTTAGCGATAGCTGACTGTGGCCTTGAAAGTCGATGTCTTTCAGGCGTGCATTCTACGCGTAACTGTAATGTCCGACATACGAAAATTTTACAACTGGCGCCAAGTGATTTCCAGGTCAACAATTGGTAGATGGAATTCGAGGAAGACGTGACATTGTAGTGAGAGTAAGTCGATATCACTAACTTGCAGCGATAGCGAAATAAACCATTTTATTGTTGCAATGGCTGCGGTACTTTGTTGATCTGAATCTTTATTTGGTGGGGCTTGATGTTATCACGTCCAGAATTACCAAGATAGGAGCACACTTTGCCAAGCCGCGCTATCGCTATGTCGGCGCTGAGTTCTGGCGATAAATTAAATTGATCACTGTACGCAATTTCTTCGTTTATCTTCGCAATCTTTTGCTGATAAATAAATACCGACGTTATCGCCTCCTATTTTAAAAGGAGCATCCAGTTGTTGTACCTCTTGTCAAGGTGTTCGAGCTGTCAAATACAGTCAAGCTCGGAAAATGTCTCCCCAGACGAGGGATCAAACAACCACGCACTAAGCTCACACGGGAATCCGTGATCATTTCCATCAGTTGCGACCTTGACAAGCGTAACGCTCACAACTGCACGCACCATCTTCTTCCCGATATCCAGCGCAAGTAGTTCAGTACGAGGCATTTTACTCTGCTCTTCACACAAGACCATGGATGATTTGAGCTTCTGCACGGCGTACTTTCCCGTAAAAGCCTTTGGAAATTGGAAACGACACACGGGACATGTACTTTGGCTTTGCAACCACGATGAAATGCATGGGTAGTGGAACGAGTGGCCGCAAGGAAGTGCCACGTGGCCATCACAAGGATTTTCACTCATACAAATTACGCATTTCTCACCCTCGTCGACTTCGGCGACATATTGACTCTCAAGCTCGTCCAAGATGGCTTGGTCTGCAGGAGACGACCTTCTGAGACGTGGAGAGACGTAGCGCATCATAAAACGCACCCATGTTGTAGAGCGAAACATCTCAAGCACGTCGCGTGTAACGGCGTTAGCTGGCGCATGGTACTGCACTTCGACGCAAACGGTGATGTCCATCGAAATTGTTTGTATTTATCACTATTTGGTCTCAAAATGACAATGGCGAGTTCGTGTTGCAAATAACAAAGTCAGATAGTAAATTAGTGGCGGCACTATGGCTATCGAAGAATTTCAAAGTGAGTGAGCGATTGGTAGCCCATATCTGCTTCCTGCTTGACAAGAGACGGACGCTTAAGCAGTTTCGAAAGGAGCAGGTTCTTAACCCATGCAGGAGAGTGGTATTTTAGCTAATCAGTGGTGCAAGGCAGGGAAGGTATCGAATCCCCCACCATGCTTCAAAATATTGCACTCGGTTATTTTTCAGTGTCATTGAGGTGAATGTGTCGCATCATCCATTATAATTAAACCGGCATTAAATGTAGATTTAAATCGCGCAATCCATTGTATGCACCATGCCACCATGGCAGTGTAGTTATTGTCTCACATTCAAGAGCCAAGTGATCTGATTAATACCTACCTGACTTGCCAAGTCTTTAAAAAAGGATGATTCTTTAATATCGGTACTTGACTATATAATTTGTTCATTCCGGTACCGCCACGTGCTCGATCATATAATTCGTCCATTCCAGGTGGAATTTTAGATTCCACAGTAGAGCGATTTTAGGAAAAAAGTGCAAGTACCGCACTGATTGTAATTTCACGGACATCCTAAGAATGAAACTCAAATTCTTTAATAGACCTAATTACCAGGCACGCACATCGCATACATAGTGCTAAGTACATAAGCAATACCTGAGATCAGTAACTGAAAGCCAGATCGCTGAAACAAGAGGTGGCGCTGGTGGATATTAAGTCTCTTAACGAAGGGTTAAAGTTTTAAGGCCTATCAGAAAACCCATATAGTTTGATTTGTACGGCTAAATTAGTGAAGAGATATCTGCATCTGTATTTAGTTACTGCTAACTTTCGAGATTAGTCAAATAGTATGTGCAAATAGATACATACCGCAGCAAAAACAAATTACTCGCCGCGCAAGCAAAATGTTTGCTGGTCTTTAAATACATAAACGAAATCTTAGTAATTCCATCCAAGAGACACTTGCGCTTTGCTGATGTCGATATTTGAATCATATATGTCGATTCAATTTATCTTCCTGCACTTGAAACCGAAGGGATGTGACCGGGTCAACGAATTAAGCCAATAGATGGCTGAGCTGGTCCCACAAAGGTTCAGCCTGACGACCATTAATACTGCCAGTCCTACAGACACATAAGATGCGCTAAATATGGATGTGAAGGTACCAAGCAAATAATATAGACATTCTCGCATGGCGATCGTTTCCGAAGTAGATATAGACGACACCCGCTTGTGATGTGTCTGCTTTTTTGCACTGGACCTGTAGATCAAAAGCAATTTTTCAGCAATTACATGAAGCTGGCAGTGCGCGTTAGCTATCACTGCGGCACGCCGCCAAGAACATCTCTTGGAGACGTTTAGCTTTTCCTGCACTCCCCAAAATGATGACAAAGCACATCGAATCTCAGCATGTGAAAGTCTTACCAGTGGAAGTTGCAGTATAATTACATATAGACGGATCACGGCAAGAAAAATCTTTGACTGTGAGCGTCATCTGTTTGGACTCCATAATCTGAGATAGCACTGATGGCCCATTCGTGTACCGCTTTGAAACGAGATGCGTATAAAATCCTTGCCGCCAGACTTCATTGCCATTGTATTTGTTCGTTGCTACAATCACTAAGTACGTGCTTCATTTGACGCTGGTAATTTGCTGGGAATGTTTTCACGCCACCTCAGTCGACTGTAGTGCTTCCAGAACACAATTGTTTTCAGCAACACTGCTCATGCTCCTGTGAAAAGTCAGTACGTTCGCAGCATGTGAACCTTCTAATAAAAAAGAGCACTTCAAGGTGCTCCATTTGAGCTCGTGACTACGATGTGCGACCAAACATTTTGAACGATTCCAATCAAAATGTGTCTTCCAAAATGGGAACCCAAGACCCAAGTGGTTGGCATCAGTTGCTTAGCGGCATCTTTATGTCGAATTGCGTCTACTCGATGGGCAACTCAAACGACCTTGTTAAGCATGGCATGAAGAATCATCATGCTTGATTTTCATCCATACCTTGTTTAAATGTCAAAACACGCAGTCATCAAGTCTACTAGGAACTTAAATTTATATTACAAATGTCAAACGTAGCTTTGGTTAAACAACTAATTTACCCACGTCGATCGTGCTACGCAGAGTATTGAAACAACCTACTTTCAAATCTCAGTTGGGAAAAAGCTGTAAACACTGCGGGGTTACGTACACTTAAATTGAGACCGCACAAATCACACTTGTTTCTAATCGTGCAAAATTCAGAAGTATCAAAGCGTTGGTACTGACAGAAACTCTGGGTGCAATGGCGTGTGCAATGCGCACAGAAAAATCCTCTCATCATCGCTGCTTTAACAAACGCACTTCGGTAGGATTAGCAAGCTCCCAGCCGGAACGGAGCCGAGGGTCTTCAATGTAGCTAAGTCTTTGGCCAACTCTGCTATTTCAAAAGTAGAATACTCTAATATTTAATGTAAACGGATACCTTATCTCGTAATACAACACTTTTATGTCTTGACGTTCGGCTAGCAGCCCGCGTATATGATACCAATACTTTGGTACTTATGAACATGTACAATTAAACAACAGTACAATGTGAATGACGTAATATTACATGATATTGTAGTTGTGACTGACAGTGTAATACTGTTTACACTGTCTTTTTGTATTTTCAGCAGAGTGCGTAAATGTTAGCGCAAAACGAGCAACCAATGCACTTGGAGTTGAACTCCATTCTTTACATTAACTGTGCGTGCTCCTCAGTGAATATCTGCACCGAAGCTCCCTCCCGCGCGATTAATCAAATGCTCAACATGCTTCTAAGAAAGACGCGGTTCTTGCGACCGATGCTTCACGCGCGATGTTTGGTGAGGCTACTGAAAGTTATCCGAAGAGAATTGTGATATGGACTCACCAAGTCCTGACAAAATTTCTCCAATCTCAAACTACGACACACGGTGTAGTCATTGTCTAAAAAGAATGCGCTCATTCTCCCCGTTACGCAAGTCTCGAACTTCGTGTCGTTTATCATCGGCGAGAAGAGTTGCAACACCTCGTAATTAATGGTCTAGAACTGATCACGGATTTATCTCCAAGCGCAAGAGTAACGCCTACTCGTTTCAAACATATCACGTCATAATACGATTCCAATCCGTCTCAGATTGCCCTTACATGCGTTTTTATCGCTCACACAGAGAGCAAAACGAGCGCCAATAAGTTGCTTTGGGGTGTTTTATATCCTCAGGTTTCCAGTCTTTAGGGGTATCGCTTGCACCTAAAGCAGCCGCGGTTGAGGAAACCCATAGGAGATGTACCGTATGTACTGAGAACTGGCCAGACACCAAAAAAACATTTCACACACTGGATAGGGAAACGTGCCCTCTTAGCCGTCCAAAGGGGTTTCAAGCATGATACAGTAAAACAGACTAGTAATGACCTCGACTAGAGCGCCAATTCTACCTCGACTAGGTAAAGCACAAAGCCTAACCCAGAAGTTTAATTGGAGCCTATCACCTTCGGTTCTAACTGCATGTAGCCCTGCTTGTTAAGATGATTTAGTAATTACAGCTCCCGATCATGTGTCGAACTCAACTTCCACTGAATAGTGGGAAGCGCTCTGCGACGGTCGGCTCTACCTCTGTCTAAGCGAGAAAAACAATAATGGTACGCTAGATATTACGACGTAACGACACTGGCAGATTCTAGCTAAAATGAGGCCTCCAGCTCTCATGACATATTGAAAGAGATATTTTTCTACATCACCAGGCTCTGAAAGTACTGTTGGCCAACCAAACATGAAATTGGGCCAATCTATGCTCATAAGCAGTGCCAACAAAGGACGACTCTACCGCGGCTTGGCTTGGTATGTCGACTCTTTTCGGGAATCAGCATCGCCCGAAATTGAGATGAATCGGATCTCAGGTGTTTGCTTTGTACTTGTCCATCGTTGCGTATCCTCGGTGGCTCATAATCGCGTCGCTGCTTTGAGGCAGACGGCATATCGGCTAAACAGGATGGTAGAAACGCTGCTTCATCCGCATCTGGTCGCTTCATATCCCACTGGTTTGTAAAAGCGGGGTCGTCATATAGCTCCGGAGGGCTCACATGGAGCACATAATGTATTCGCATTATCTATGAGGTGCTGCGGGACTTTCCAATCCCTCATCGTTACGACCGGAACTAACTGCTAAAGGGTTTTACCGACCGCAGAAAAGGCATGTCATGGTAGGTTGAATGCATTCAATATAAGCTTTGCCTCGCTACACATTTGTGTATGTTCCTGTCTCTTTTGCTTCTGGACGTGACAGCATCATTCACCCGGCGAACGACGCTTAATCTCATTAAAAAAAACTCTGATTTGCCACGAAGTGTAGCCGTGTTTATATTAGCATGTAAGTAGGACTTACAGCGCAATGCACGACTCTACAAGCGTTGTCCCTTTATAAAGATCTTTTGGAATTTCGCATTGCACGGCTCGACAAGCGTTGACCCTTTCATAAAAATGCTATGGCTAATCCCATATCATTTTTATAAAAGGGGCAACGTTTATAGAATCTTGTACTACAGTGTTCAGCGCAAACTTATGAGCGAGAATAACTTGCTCGAGTAGCCGCGCAAATGCTCTAAAAGGTATCCATTATCACCATAAAGGCTGGGATCTGACTTCTTGTTGGTCGTGATCAGAACTAACATGTCAAATTTGATACTTATCATCTTAAAGAAAGCTCAACCAAACTTTATTGTGAAGCGCAAATTCCTGTTCAGTACGTTGGCGAACGACAAGCCATGAAAACAAACCATGCTTTTGGTGAGGAACAACTTTGCTGGATCCTCACAGATTACCGTTGCTCTAGCAGCTGCAAGATGGGCCATCTTGCTAAGACAAACTACAGAGACCACAGTGCCGGATGATCCGACGCATCCTCGGGAGGACCATCAATAAAGTCAATTTTGATGGACTGCCTAAATCCTGTCCGAAGCGGTAGGCTGGCTAAAGGTGCCGCCGGGTCTCACACATTGATTTTTCCCGCACGTGCGAGCATATATACTTTCCGATTTGTACATGTTAGGCCACCAATAAACAGCGCTTGTATCAAGAGGTGGTCGCTCAGTGGGATATCATGTGCCTCGTACATTAGTCTCCTCACATTTTGGTGCTAGCACACGTGACTTATCAAGTTGGTCAGTTCTGCAATACAGCAGGCCTTAGGCTAAAAGATAGCCGTATAGACGTACAAACGTGCAGCAACGTATCTCGTTTTGCAACAAATCAGATCCCGAACATTCAAAGCATTTCGCAGCGCAGCACATTTTTTGTCTGAATTGTACACTGTATGTATGATTCTAAACAGCACCATCGTGGCATGAGTCGGGGTGACGCGAAAGTGCATCCGTCATCAAGATAATTCGATTTGTCTTATACCTAGCCAAAAAAGTAATTTCGGCAACGAAGGATAAACAATGTGCCACTCTCTGCATAAGATGTGACGACGTCGCTTAGCGCAATGACACATGATCTGTATAGATGACAATAGCTTCGGACCAAAAAGGTTTGCACTGAGCGTGGTCAGATAATTTTCATCGAATGTCGCTCCTTGTCGTGGGCGAAGGTGGTTTTATCACCACGTAAAAGTGCAGGACTCAACTGTGATCACGCGTTCATGTCCGTCGGCATCTACTTAAAGTCAAGCACAGTTCATGGCAAAGGCAAGGCCGTCACAGACGATGTATAATGCCGATTTGGATTTGTATTTGGGGCATGAATGCGGCTTTTATTCACAGCATTGATAACCGCATCATTTGTCGAACCCCAGCACCATATTTAATTGTCTGGGTACGATTGGTAATGGGTCGTGCCATGCCGACATAGTTTGCACTGTATCAAAGCAAACACTTTGCCAGTTCAACCCAAATTAAGTGTCAAGATACTGTCAATTCACTATCGCATATATATTTGCCGTGTCTGTCCACAGGCTACGACTTCCCATTAAGGAAAACCAAAAATACTTTGTCGACACCAAGGCACAGTTGCTCATATTGGCGAAAAGGTCATTCAAGCGCATAGATTCAAAAAAATCTTTTCAAGTGTCATGTGTGGCTTTGCATGTCTAACTTTCCATGCTCTACACGACTCTGGACGATTGAATCGTCAAAATAGGACTGTGTGTAGCGACGAAGTGGTCTAAACGGCTGCAGTACAAGGTGATTGACCGTCGCTCGTCACTAGTCGCTAATACGTGAGAGAGTTCTTGTAACGGGATTTGCTCGTCTTTGTTCACAAACTCAATGAGGAAGTTTTACACGCTTCACCGAGTGTTGCTCCCTTCCGAGGAGAGAAAATGTGAATTGACATTTATTAGAATCAACAGGCCTAAAAAACTTCCTAAACTGACAAGTGCCTTCAATTCTGATGTGAATCCAGAAATCTACAACTATGCAAGATATATGATTAATGTTAACCACACACAGAATCATGTGGTTCACACAACATGTGTATTGGGACTGAACTTGACAAGAGTATCCCGGTCAGTATACTAGCCGCAGTGAAAAGAATGTTGCTGTTCTTCATGAGCAGTTGATTACATTCACTGAACAAAGCACAATCAGCTATGCAAATATCCATCAACTCGGTCAAGGAAATAAAACAAAGTGCAAATGATCATACAAATACTCATCAGCTAGTTTAATGGCACAGTAAATGTGCAACCAGTGCAAGTAGTTGGCCAGGTCAAGCCACTTTCTTATTGGTTTTGAATCAGAGGCAATGCCAAATCCACTATGACCCATATCTTCGCGGGATTTCTCAAGCTCTGCTTTCTGATTAAGTAGCCTAGAACGATGGTATTGTTGCGTCAAAAACACATGTGTTTTTGCAGGCGAACAGCTTACTTAAGCGCATGCACTCGAGTACTGCTTGTAATAGTTTAATGCGGCTCTTCCACCAACGTTTTCCCGTGCTCTTCTCGACTACGACCGAGCATGTCTTTTGGATGGAGTTGTGCGTGGCATGTACAGCTGTAATACCAGACTCTTGAACGTCGCTGGTACATTGATAGTCCCAGTGGAATAACCCGCTTTTTCCTCAAGTATCCAGTTAGTGGTATTTACCGAAGTGAGGTATACCGTTGTCTCTCATCAGCTGTTGATTCTAATTATTAGCACAACTGAGGGCGGATGCTGTGTTACAGCAAAAACGTCCTAAAGTTTGGGTCGCGCCAGAATCGTGACTGCATTTAGCTTAATAAAAGCATGCACAATACGCCACTTACCGTCAGACATTTTAATTCAGAAGTTGACGCCGATTGGTGCGCCGACTCGCTAATTCCCCGCATCGAACAAAGCTCCAATGACGTCATACCATTTTCTTTGCATAGTCATTGCTAAATAATATTTGATTCTGGATACCAGGTCAATTTCTCAATTTAGGGCAACATAGATTTTATTTCATATACTACGTCGTGATATTTTCTTTACGCAGGTAAAATTTAGTGCCCAGGGTCCTTGTGGATGATTGGCTCACTTCTCGCACTTAGCGCTTTGTAAATGTCGTTAATGACAAATTCATCCATAATAGATTACGCGCTCAGCTCTTCCTCCGGTACCCACCGTACCATTACAGTGAGATCTCTGTCTTCAACTGAAATTACGAGTGCAAATTGGAGCCAAATTTGTTGCGCACACGCTAAAGAGAATTCCACCAGATCTATAGAAAATTTTGCCTCAGGTAAGAATAAATGGCCCAAAAACCTAGGACTACCTCTGTCACTTGAGTCTCGGCTTCATGTTCATTCTCGCCACAAATTCGTTGAGCTTACTGCAACATCGAGCTTAATTGGGTGCGAAAGGGCTGTTACCACTTCAGACGAGGAGATGTTCCGTTGCAGTGATAAGTACTCGCAAATCATGTACATATTTGGCCATTTCTCTTCTTCCCAGACAAACGGACAATAAGATGGCACGCATACTATACTTTCATACTCTTATATATAATCCTTTATTTTTTCCGCGTTGAGCCTTTTCCTCCCGGTAGAAGTAAGTAGAAGGTTCAGACGCAGAGATAAAGATGGACTTGCCCCAACCGGCTCACGCGGTTCGAAAACTCGATTTGTCTTTAATGCAACATTCCCGTTTCTGGATACAAAATGTCTCGATGCAAGCCACACCGGTTCGGAAACTCCATGAAAACGGTAGCTGATACCGCTTTCGTGCGAGCGGTTTCCCTTATTGTGGTGATTGGGATTCGTGAATCCTGTTTCTCCGTCCATGACGAACAGGTAAGCACTTGGCACGCAATTAAATCACCAGTTCACCTGTGATCAGATTGCCCTTTCAACCGAGATTTTGTACGTAAGTGCCTATTCTCACGCAAGTCCTCCTACCTTAAAGATGTTGCCTAATGTAAGCCATATCAACTATTCTCATTCAGACGAGTGCTATTCTGTGTTGTTTCTTCAGCAAACTGGACTCTAAAATTAGCAGTCCCATGGTGAGTGTCGTCTAACGCCTGGTAGGGGCCTTTTCGAAGAAGCGCTTTTAAAGCTGGTAAACGCTTCCAAGCGAGGGAGTTGTTTTTCTTGTTCCTGGGCCACTACGCCGATTTCTTCGGGAAAATCATAAGCAACATGCTTATCAAACGTATCTTGTTTTTTAGGGACAGGAATACAAAAAAACAAACTTCTTCCTCACAGTGCATACTGATCCTTACGATTTGATCATCAAACTGACTATTTGCTCTAGCAAGTGCAACGGAGTTGTCGAGTACCTTGCACCGAGACAAAATTACCCCGCGTATATAACTCGAAGAAGCTGGGCTTGTACGTTTGACCCAAAAATGGGAAAAGCATAATTAAAAAATTATTCTGTTATGATTAATATTGCAAAATACACACGTTTTATCATCACTTTTAATGGTAAATTCATATTGTGTTGCTTGACATGAATCTGACACAGACCTCTCTATCGTCTTTGTTATTTAAAACCGTTAGATGTACACCACAACATATGGATTTCGTTAGGTTGTACATAATCATGAGTTTGCTGATGTTGATCACCCAGCGATATGTGGAAAAGTTTGAGAGGTCAGGGTCATCGAGTGGTAATGAGGAGTCTCATGGTTAAAAATAGTTGCATAGTGAGAGCGTACGACAAGCGACACAAGGCTGATCAAGGCAGCTGACTATGTCGAGCCAAACTCGAGTTTATAGCGTTAAGTGTTTATATAATAATAACCACTGTTTATGCTTTCTGGTTAATGACCCTTTCGATCTGAGAAAGCAGACCCTTAACAATCTACATCTTAATCAAGATACCAGAGACAGCTTGACAAAAGGAGATAGGTCATGAAATCATTTTAAAGTACGAGTTTGAGCGGAAGATCAAAGGATCGGATACGAATAATCTGCTATAAGACGCTTTATGGACTCACTCACCAGACCGCGATCGGCGAAGAGGAGGAAGCCGATGATGGCTCCGTAAACTATTGCCTCGATACAAGGGAGGCCTTTTACCTCTTCAAAAAGACCCAGCGTCTCCTGGCGGACGTTGGGACATCTGCTTCAGCAATCCATGTCATGGATGATTGATGCCTTTAAGCTAAGTTGTTTATCGCTCACAAGATCAGAGTAGTCAACCAGCAGATAACTGTCAGCAAGATTCTGGATAACATGAGAAGCAGGTGCACCGAGAGTTAAGGTTCAGACAAAGCTTAACCTTTTATACTTTCGAGAAATACGGTCGAGCATTACGGCAAGAGAGGGGTTAGTTGTCAAGGGGTCATGGTGCAGTGGCTCACCTACGAATTAGTCGAGGTGAAGGAAGCGGCGCCCGTTACAGATAACAAGGTTTACTTTGATCACATCTCAAAAGGAGACAACAAACAAGACAGGGAGTCTATGCCGAAGCGATGCTGATAAGACTGAAGAAGGAGCTCTCATATGTGAGAAAGATAGTGCTTCAGTCTGATAACGCAACCTGCTAGTAGAACACACAGTTGCCTTTGATTCTTCCTTATTTGAGTATTTTGCACTAGATTGAGATTGCGCGCTTCATCCATACTGCGATACAATATGGCAAATCTGTCTTAGACGCTCATTTTGCCAGATCAATGGGAGGGCTAAGGTCATGGGAAAGGAAGGTTATTGCGTCACACCAACACAGTCAGCGGTAGGCATCAAGTCACATTCTGGGGTATCACACTGCATTGTGGTGCTCGTTGGATACAACCAGGAACGGCTCCTTGGGCTTGCGAATCAAGTTGAAGCAATGGACATGCAACTGAAGCGAACAGTAAAGCGGGCCAATGACATCCTCTTCTTCTACGACAAGCGGCGACTCGGCCAGAATAGGGAGGGATTCTGATAGCTTTAGATTCGTTCGCTACTGAAGTTGCCCAGACTTCACACTCACGGCTTTCGAGTACGCAGGCATTGGAAACGAAAGGCCTTTTCAGTTTCAGAATACGTGCGTGTCTGAAACTAGAAGTCGCAGAAATATTTTTGAAGAAGGAAGTCTAGGAGAAGACTTTGTTGAGGAATGAGAGAATAAAGAAAAGGCTGCATAGTTGACAAAAGAAGGGCGCGAAGATGACAACGGTGCTGTAGGACAGTTTGATGCAGATGATGACGTAATGCAGGAGATAATGAACGAAAATCTTGATCCCAAGCGTCTACGGGGCTAGTGACAGGCATATAGATTACAACGCAATTACAGATTCTTTGAAAGCAGAGACAATGGCATTACAAGCCTCGTCCTCTTCCAGAACAAAGTCGGCGCATTGAAAGTTGCACTGAAGAAGAATCCTTCCGGTCATAACACGTAATATGGTAATCTTGATCCACATTCGCCTGTTATGCTCCGTTCATCAAAGCTCCTCTAGTGACCTCCAACTAATAAGCAGCCGACAATCAGTGACTGCCGCTTGTGTTAGATGCAACCGCTTCTCAACATCACTGACTGAGAGGTGCGTGATTCCTAGTTTTCACTCGCGTCATCATCACTAATAGTAATCACCGAACTTCTGCTGGTAACACCGGCGGCGAGAAATGAATAGACGCTCTTCATAGCAACCACAGCTGTGCTGATGATGACTCTCCTGGTGGCAGCGACAGTCTCTTTTTTTCTCTAGTAACACCGGTAGAAAGAGTGAATAGACGCTCCTCATAGCTCTCACAGCTTGGCTGATGATGACACTTAGCAGTAGCGACAGTCTCTTCTGCCGTAACGAACTATACAGAAACTACCAGCAAGCAAAAAAGAGTCCCATACTTGTATTATTGTAAAAAAAAGTCACATACGAAAAGCCATGCCTAGTGCTCAACTTTGGAAATAAAATATCTGGTTCGACAAAACTTCAGTGATGCTAGATATGTCAACAGCCTTCACACAAGACGTAATATATAAGTCTAGGCAGAGTCAGGATATTGTGTTTTGGCCAAATCCGGGCATCCTCAAATTTCTCGTCAAATTTGGTTATTTTGGTGCGCAGAAGTCATTGATAAAATGTATATCTAGTATATTAGCTTAAAATAGGAATCCTAAATATATGCTCTTGAAATGAAAGAGCATTTCAGGTGACAGGTACATTCGATTCTCTTGGCTTCGTTTCTGGAAAAAGCGTAAGAATTATTTTTTTATGCTTTGTCGAAGCAGACTAACTGAGTAAATATACTATGTGCTAGGTGCACAGCGAGTTTGGTACTAATACATCATTCTCTTCATTGTTAGCAATCTGCCACAGCGGTTGTCAAATTGCGCAGCACCTAAGGACTAACAATAGTTGCCGATCATCAGCAAGCCTGCCACCACGGTGAACATTTGAGTACTAGAGCTTGTGGCTGCAGCGAACTGCCGTATCTCTTAGCTTAGAGGAAGCTAAGCTAACGTCACCGACCTAACGTTCTTCCAATAACCAGTGCAAGTGTAGCGGATCGCAATCCGCTACTTCTAAGTACTTAAGCCTTTACTAAGGCAAACGAACACTTCTGTTCAAAAACGAAACTGTATTTAATTAATGTAGTTGCGGCAGAGCCGTCAATATCTAAAACTCAAGGTTTTTCCAACGAGACTCATACGAGGCTCGCGTGCCTGAGTACTAGAAACAACTTTAAACCTTCTCCGCTTTATAAGCACTGTGTCTACGACAGGCAAAATACCCAGTCTAGCTTGTAGTGAGGGTGCCCGCGGGCAAAGCCCTTCTTCTTCTGCACAAGATGCATCTTCGGACAGTCTTCTTTTTCTCTTCTCTTTTCTTTTCTTTTCTTTTTTTTTCTTTTCTTTTCTTCTCTTCTCTTCTCTTTACGTCGGCGGCTTTACGGGAAGCCCATCCCAAGCCCTCGGCAGCTAGGCGCAACACACCGCGCCCGCCCCGGGCGACGGATTTCCTCGTCGAAGAGTTGGGGGAAGTCGACTACGAGTCGGACACTCCTTTTCCAGCTTGGGATGACGAGGAAGATGAAGCGCTCCAATGACGCAACGTGAGCCCAGCTCAAATATTGCGGACACCGTGTCCGTTCCCCGATCACTCGGCTTCCGGGGGAAATGGTGTTATTACCAATCGCCTCAAAGAGGCACAGCAGCAGCAATTGAGGGCAGCTCACAGGGGGGCTCTTTTGCGCTCGTATCCACGTTCGGTCTTAGACTCTCGTGTGGAATACGTCTTCCGCTCGTCGGATCCCGCTACTGAAGCGAAAGACGCGACCACTTGATCGTTAGGCGTCTACGTTGTCAAGCCTCCGGCCACTACACCAGTTGAGCTTGATCAGCGAAAAGCTCTACGAGCTCGCTTCTTGGTACCCCCAAGCGATCCCAATGAATTTGTACCGCGCTCAAGTTCGAGTTCAAAAATGTGGCAATCCTATTCCCAAAATGCGGACCATTCCTGTGGTGCTTGTCCCTGGCGAAACCGCTGTAGATGACGATGAGCTCTTTGAGCAATGGATGCAGCGGCATCGGAAACTTTCCTCGCTGTCTACCTAACAGCGAAACCACAGAGAAGTAAACGTGCGCGTTGAGTGCTATTTTCGATTTGAGTTTGCCAAACTCTAGGCGCAACGCCGACTTCCTGCGTATTGTTGTCCCGCGACATATGGCACAATTCATAACGCTCCTGCGAGCTCTGTGGTTTCTCACACGGGTGAGTCTACGACCACAACAGCTCAATGTCACAGCTTGAGTTCAGCTCATGGCCCTTCGGCTTCCCAGGCTACTACCAAGAAGCACGGTCTACAACACGTTGCGAAGATCCTTCTGATCATAAGCGTATACGGCGTCTGGACAATCTTGGTGAAGTGGCACCTCAAACTTCCACGAGTCCTCGGAGTTGGTATCCCCGCCACTTTACATGATATTGGGTTGAACCCCGCCAACGACACAA